CTCATTTATTTCTTTATAGCTATATCTTAACAATTATTTAGACAAAGCAACTATTTGTTTTATAATAATTTGGTTTATGTGTATGTGGTTAACTCTAACAATTACAATGGTGACATGCTTGTGAACAAAGAGTTTGGGATTCAGGTTTGGCCTAAACTCTCATCCATTGAAGCAAGGGTCTTGCCAGCCCCAGTGGTAAATTTTGTCAATATTTGTTTACTGAATTACTTTAATTATGCTTCTTCTGCGACTTCTGACATTCTGCTACTTCGGATGTCAGTTGAAATATCATGAGACTGGACGTGAATCTCGTGTTGAGCCAAGAGTAGGAGTATGGAATATGATTAACAAGGTGACTGTTCTTAGCTGAATGATGTGTTTTCAGGCTGTTTTAACCCTGTCAGCATAGATATCTTTAGAAGCATAGTTCGATTTGATTCTTTATTCACGTAATGAAAGTTCAATAAGTGAATTGAATGAGCACGTTGCCTCTTAAACGTATTGTTTCCTTTCCAATACAAATTATTTAAAATTATTAATTCATTACCCTACATTATCTCACGTCTGACTTCACGTTGAATTATAATTTGTAGATGTTGTTGAGTTTCACTTTCTGAATATTATTTTTATTTTTATTTTTTTTCTGTTGTTAAAGTTGTCTTCAATGAAAACATTTGTGTTCTTGTTTAGAAAATGATTAATGCTGGCAAAGTGGAATTCTGGACATGCATTAACTTTTCGCGGAGTTCCAATATTCTTGATGTAGACAGGTTCTGCAATGAATTAATTGACATGTGTAATAGTAAAGGGATGGTATGGCCTTTTAATCTTTGCATTGAGTTGTGCTTTGACAAGCATTCACTGCACTTCAAATGTTAGTTACAGAATCTTGTGCTTGCTTTTAGGAATTTAATCGAAGACCTTTGGTTCCTATTCGATCTGCTAATTCTCGTGAGATAGAGAAGGCTCTCTTTGATTTGCACAATGATTCTTTAACTAGACTGGCAAGCTTGAAACTGACCGGGAAACAACTTCAGTTGCTAATAGTCGTTTTACCTGATGTCAGGGGGTCTTATGGTTAGCTATAAACCTTTCGGATTCAAAATTTCTAAAGCGATTCATTATCTTGAATTGTGGTATTTTGTTTTTCAGGTCAGATCAAGCGAGTTTGCGAAACAGAGTTGGGAATTGTCTCGCAATGTTGTCAGCCCAGTAAAGCATCTAGTTACACTAAAATATATCTTGAGAATGTTCCTCTAAAAGTCAATGTGAAGGTTTGCTAGGATATCATGTGCCCAAATAGTCTACTTCGATCTTCAATTTCCTTCCTACTCTAAATAAATTGCTCCTTGTCTTCTCTATTTTTTTTTTCATGGTTAAATTTCCAACTAGGTTGGTGGCCGAAATACTATTCTGGAGCAGGCTTTTGAAAAAAGAATGCCTTCTCTAACTGATATCCCTACAATCATATTTGGGGCAGATGTAACTCATCCTCAACTAGGGGAGGATTCCAGCCCTTCCATTGCTGCAGTATGTTGAAACTTCTCTCTATTGCTCCTCCCCTCTTTTGAAAAGGAAAGATAAGAGTTGAGACCGTATTATTTACAGGTAGTGGCTTCAGTCGACTGGCCAGGAGCAACAAAGTACAGAGGGTTGGTTTCTGCACAATCTCCTCGGGAAGAGATCATACAAGATCTCTACAAAACAACTGAAGGTCCTAATGGAGGCATTGTTCATGGTGGCATGATAAGGACCCTTAACATTACCTCTTAAGTCTAATGTTTTTCCTCTTCCTCTCTTACCATTCACTTCTATTTTGTAGGGAACTGTTGATTGCATTCAAAGATTCTGTTGGTAATCTGCCTCAGAGAATTATCTTCTACCGGTTAATAGACTTAAACCATTCTTTCAATTGTTTCTGTGTTTTGCTACACATGCTGTGAAATGTAATGCTGATATTTTTTGAATGACAGTGATGGAGTTGGTGAACAGCAGTTTTACCAAGTTCTTTTGCATGAAATGAATGCAATCCGGAGGGTATGTGATCTTTAGGTTTCCTTATCCATTTTTTTCTTTTAACTTTAAAAGTATTTAGTTTACGTGATGTGTTCCTTACCATATTGTATCTCAATTGGAGCTTTCTTCAGGCTTGTTTTTCAATTGATGAACATTACCTACCAACTGTTACCTTTGTTGTGGTTCAAAAAAGGCACCATACACGTTTCTTCCCTGCCAATCATGGGGATCGAAATACAACAGACAAGAGTGGAAACATTTTGCCAGGTATGAAATTTTTTGGTTCATACACGGAGCAGCATCTGTCACTTGTTTTTCCTGTATTTGATCATGTGGTTTACTTCGATAATCAGGTACTGTCATTGATACCAAGATATGCCACCCCAGCGGGTTTGATTTCTACCTCTGTAGCCATGCTGGGACTCAGGTACTTCGATTCATGCTGTTTAGTCAGTTTGCAGGCATTATCTTTGTATATACGTGCATTTACTTTGTAAAAAATGCATATAGAGCGTAGATTATCTTTAATAGGATATGTATTGATGCTTTGCTTTAGATTTCTGATATACTTTTATACGTCGAACAGGGAACTAGCCGCCCCACACATTACCATGTGCTGTTTGATGAGAACAAATTCAGTGCTGATGGTCTGCAGCTGTTAACCAACAGTTTGTGTTATACGTAAGATTACACTGCCTATCTTTGTAATGAAATTTAATTTTTAGTTTTATGAATGAAGAGCTTTACTTGGTTCATTACTTACTTGAACTCTCACTCTTTCAGGTATGCTAGGTGTACTCGATCGGTCTCTATAGGTTAGTTAAGCCTCTTTTCATTGTGTTCATTTTACTCGGTTTTATTACAGACGAGATTTGTTAAGATCAAGATTTTAGTTTGCTTATATTTATCTGGGTTATTGTGTAGTTCCTCCTGTTTATTATGCCCATTTGGCTGCATTTCGTGCTCGATACTATGTCGAAGGTGGTGAGCTCTCTAACAGTGGATCTGCTCCTGGAAGAGACATGGCAACAAGGGAGAAGAATTTGGAGGTTCGCTCACTTCCTGCAATTAAGGATAATGTCAAGGACGTGATGTTTTATTGCTAGAGAGCACTTTATTTTTTATTTTTTTGGCTAATAGTTTCTCAAGAATAGGTTACTCGAATACATGCTAAATCCCAAGTACAAGAATGGATGACTACGTCACAGAAACGTTGATTTACTGTCAACTTACAAGCACAAGTAAATAGCCAAAACAATTTATTTTGAGAATCTAATTGCGTACAACTTATTGGAAGTAGTTTACCCAGTGATCATCATTCCAGCCACTTCATCAGTGAGAATCTCAAGAAGTAGTGAATGCTCCAGCCGCCCATCAATAATACTAGCTGTCCTAACGTCTTGAGCTAGAGACCTCACACAACAGTTCACCTTGGGGATCATCCCACCTGCAATCGTCCCGTCCTCCACCATCTTCTTCACCCCTTTGATATCAATCTCCTTCACCAAGCTTCCAGGATCATCGCGATCCTCAAGTATCCCAGCAACGTTTGTCAATAGAATCAACTTTGCCGCACCCAAAGCTGCTGCAAGCTCGCCAGCAGCCGTGTCTGCATTAATATTATATGGCTGCCCTGTTGCATCAGCTGCTACAGAGGCAATCACTGGGATATGGTTATTATCCACAAGTGGCAGGATTATAGAGGGCTCGACATTGGCAATGTCCCCCACAAAACCAAGCTGCGCAGCATTGGGAGACGGTCGGCTGTCAAAATCCTTCCATCAATTCCAGATAAGCCGACTGCAATTGCACCGGCTTTATTGATCAAAGCAGCGAGATTTTTATTCACTTTACCAACCAACACCATTGACACAATTTCCATGGTGGTGGCATCAGTGACTCAAAGGCCATTGAGGAAATTCGGCTTGATGCTGAGTTTTCCCAGCCACTGGTTGATCTCTGGCCCACCACCATGCACAAAGACAATGCGAAGGCCGACGCATGAGAGGAGGACCGTAACGCCCCATTTTTTTTTTTTGTAGGACGGGAACGTTACGAAAACTCATTTTTCTTTAATAAAAAAATGCGGAACTATATAAAATTCTTCAATAAACAAATAATTGTAACGTTTAAATTAAAATTATTGAAAGCGTATCTAACCATAAACATAAACTCCTAAGTAATTCAAATAATGCGTTCTAAATTAAAATAAACAAATTGCTAAATTTAAAATGGCAAACTTATTTCTTTTTCTCTATTCTTTATCCACTTGGCAGTCCGCATCACCAATTCTCCACTGTTCCAATCGACCCGAACTAATCTGAAAAATTAATGTAAGAGTGAGTATTAAAAATACCCAGTAAGATACGTGCAAATTTCCATACACAGGTATATAACAAATAAATAATACACTTCATACCGCTCTTCTCTTATGGAGTATATCGGTGACCAAGCGATACACCCATCTTAGGTCCTCTTAATTTTCATGTAGAAATTTCATATCTCTTTCTCTAGAACCCGAAGGTCCACTAGCATTCCATGTATATTTAATTGCATATAAGAGCATAAGGAAACGTAAACACTTTGCACATAAATGTATCTTACCTCGTTGAATCTACAGTATGTTGAAAATCGTTCCTCCGCTTTGAAAGTATGTGATTAAAATACTCGATGTATGAAATTCTATTTCTAATGCTGCTTTCTGTCTTCCTTTTTTCTCTCCTTTCTCTCTCTTTTATCTTTCTCTTTCTCTATTTCACGTGTGAATTTTTGGTGTGGTAAAATGTGGGATTCTAGCATACTATTTATAGGTGTAGACTAGAGTAGAAGATATGTCTTATCCTAACCAAAAGATTTTTACTTGATTTGTACTAGGCCTTTTTTGTTGTTATCAAAAAATTTGAGACTATCTATAATACTATATTTACAAATAGAAAATTTATTTGCCATCACTTTTCTATTATAATATAGTTTATCTTCCAAAATAAATGCTCCGAAATAATTAAAATTCTATCTTATTTTAATAAATATTATGTTTAAACAAAAGGTAGTCTAATTAGTCAGCACTGCCTAGAATATTTAATTAAAGGGAATTATATTAATTCTTAATTCTATTTAATCTTGTTTCATTATTCCATGACGGCTTTTCCCGTAAAATGCCTCAATCCAGTATAATCTACAGTTATTTTTCCCTTATCTAAACATCACTTGGAGTCTATCAACTCATAAAGTCAAGTAATTAAATAATACTAAAATAACCAATCCCTAAAATCAAGAAAACCTACCCTTCTTTTTCTCCAAAATCAAAGCAAATAATTATTAAAATAAACCTACTTCTTTTTTATTCATAACTATTTCTATACGTACACACCATACAAAATCAAGACAATTCCATGTACACATGTCAACATCACATCTTCCTTCCAAGTTTTAATTGAATTTGAAAACCAATTTCTTCAAATCGAAATTTCTTGGTGCTGGGTTATCCAAATCGACTATTTCTCGAGCCTAAAATTCATAATTAAATACTAGCTATCCAACGAGTATAATATTAATATACTTATTTTTACTCTATCGAAATTTAATTTTGACTCAAAGTATAATAATTTAAAATATATTACCTCTTAGTCCCTCAACTTTTGAAATAATATAATATAGATATTAAATAAATTTTTATCAAAAATTTTGGGATGTTACAAGGACAATGTCGGCAATGACAGAAGCCTGGAGTGCCACAGACTGCATTGCAGCTCCCCCATATTTAACTACTATAGTCTTGCCAGGGAATTTCTGAATAAAGGGTAGTGCTTCGGATAAAATCTTGACCCGAGTTTGAGCTGGGGTGGATTGGGTACCTATTTCCGTCGCAATTACCGATTCCAAAGATCCACTGAGACATGATATTTTCCATTTTCCATTGCGTTTCGTGACCGGAACGAAGTTCTGAAGGGCAACCTTTCACTGGAGGTAGAAATAGAGAGCACTTTATTTAATAACTTTAAAGTGTTTGGAAGTTTTGCTGGGTGATCTGGGAAGCAGTAATAGGTTCGTGCAAACCTTTTCACGGATATCTTTTTGATCTTTTTGAGTGCAAGTTTTTAATTTACCGAGACGAAATATGGAGTTAAATGTTTCGCGGATTCAAAATTTCTAAAGCGATTCATTATCTTGAATTGTGGTATTTTGTTTTTCAGGTCAGATCAAGCGAGTTTGCGAAACAGAGTTGGGAATTGTCTCGCAATGTGAACACCGGAATTCTAATGCATTTGGTTTATGACGTATAACTACCCCTATATTCATGCTTTCGGATTACTATTGGTTCGAAACTCGTGATCACGTATTAAAATCCACTTACGTGTTCACAAGTGGGCGCCACACATGTTGGCCACATTCTTTCAAAAAATGAGGTCAACAAGAAACATCCAAGCTTAATGAATGGAACAAATTACAGCAGAGACCTTAGATATACATGCGCAGAGTGCATAATGGTCACCAATCATATCAATATGTATAAAAGATAAATGGAATAAAATTACTAATTTCTCAGAAAGCAGTCATCATTTAGAGCTCCATATTCTTCAAAACACAAGGAAATTCACACCAATGCAGTGTAAAATTCTCCAAGTTTTCAGGTTTTCTCATCGTACCGGATTCTACATTATAATAGAGGAGACCTTTGCCTAGTTTTGGAATAAAAACCAGCTCTTCAACATGACCAGCCAATACACTTGTTAGTGGCACAATGGCGTTGCATATAGATGAAAAATTGATGTAATATTCTGAAACCCACAAACTATTTTTTGGGTCTTCCAGCCTCCAAATTTTCACAATTGCCTTTTCATTGGAACAGTGTGCCAAACATAAACACTCCTTTAACTCTACCAAGTAGGCAACGGTATCAGGACCGAGCTTTGGGCATGAAATGATTTGGGATTCTTCCTCATCCAAATCCAAGGCAAGAATAGAACTGGTTTCAAAACAATTCCTTAACGTTGGGTTATTTATCTGCCAAAAAATCACTCCATTAACAAACACAGAAGTGATGCTAAGTTTTTCAAAAGGACGTGTTTCAATCAATCTCCACGAATCTGATTTGAATTTTAGACGATCAGTTAGACTGAAAAGTTCACACCCCATACTCATTCTGAAATACTGTGTGAACCACCGAACAATTTTGAATTCTCCTGCAACAGATGAGTACCCTAAACCTATACCTACACGACGAAGATGATCAGGATCAGGAAGAATTGCTTTCTCTTGGGTGCTCAGATTACAAATAGAAATATTTAGTTGAACCAAACATACAAGATTATGACACGAGATTACGGTATCAATACAATTATCCTTCATAGGGAGACAGTAATTTTCCTGAATCCTTTCGTTAACTGCATCCACGATGGATATGCGAACAGAGAATTTTACCACATTCCAATCAACATATCGGTCGGAAAGACTACAGTGCCAAATATATAGATAAGGTTTTCGATGAAGTCGTTGGTGGCGCAAAGCTTTGACAAAGCCAGGATGAGGAGAAGATATCAAGCTGTGCCATTCTTTGGAAACACAGGTGAACCTGCAAAGAGACTTGTCAGGGAGTCTGGATAGCACGTCAACTAATAAGTCGGTTGGTAGTTCATTCAAACTCATATTTTTCTTCTCTACAAATTGTTCTTCCATCAAGAGACGGAGGAAGATATTTGCTTCGTGTGCAAGTTAAATTTTGGTTTTGGGAACGTTTCTTTATTGCTTCTGAATAGAACACAAATCAGTACGGGAACTCTACATATATATTGCTATCTAGTCAATTACACAAGGAATGGAATAAACAATAATATGACAAAGATAATTACAAATCATTACAGATGGAAATTTCCTTCTATGCTAATATATGGAGATTTATTCCTTTAATAGTGTGTGTCTTTCTTGTGATAAAAAAAAATAATAATAATAATTCTTTTGAATTCATTGTAGTATTTATATATGGAACTTGCCATCAAGAGATTAAATTGGACAGGATTAGGAGTACACAGTATATTCTCCACGATTAATTACAAAAAGTGGGGATTGGAAACCCTAATTTGGCGGCTATTGTAATCAAAGATAATTCTGATTTTTTTTTTTTAAATAATTTTTTTATCTCTAGCATTTTTATTAATTCTTCAATCTTAAAATTAACTCTGCTATTAAAAATTTAAAAAGTTTAACACTACTGGTGGAAAACCCCATTAGTCCCTGAACTCTTAGATGATGTAGAAAGACACCCTAGACATAGAACTTGTTTGAATTAGTTAAAAAAGTTGATAAAAATTTAAGTGAAAACTTAAAAAAATATTTTAACCACATATTTTATGAAAACTATAACTTTTTATCAATTTTTCAATCACACTTTTAATCAACTTTGAACAAAATTTAATAAATAAAAAATAATATTTTTTTACGAAATCAAACAAGAGCTCAAGTGATACGGAACAACACCTACTAATAAAAATAAGGACATAATTCTAAAAATGAAGACATCGGTCTCCTATCTTCACCTTATCCACAACTCATTTTCACGTGAGGTCGAATTTAAAAATAAAGTATAAAGTTTCTCTCTTGTTAACTATGGTGTCGCGGTGCTGGCAGTGTGTGTGGGGTATGGGGTGGGTGGAAGAAGATGGCATTTTTCATTTTTATTATTTTATTCTTTTCTTTTCTTTTCTTTTGTTATTATTTGTTTAAGAAAGAAATGAGAGATAATAAAGCACCACCGATGATAGGAACAAGCATCTAGCTTTTGCTTAGGTGTATTGCTGAATTCTTCAATAAGGTAATAGAATAAGTGTCAAACATAGTTGATGTTGAAGTTCCTAAGAGAACTAACTTTAGAAACCACGAAGTTTCAGTTTCACAAAAATTCTGTCATGGAAAATACAAGTTCAAACCTCAACTATAAAATTCGGTAACATATCATCTTGTCAGGCTTCACTGCATAGTTGCAATGAAGCATCTAGAGTTGGATCATAAAACTGACATCCATGACGAGAAACCTTAAAGTTACAAACCCTAATCGTTAGGTTAATTAGCTTTTTTTTTCTTGTTCGTGCCAAAGGAAAACCATGAAATCAAACAATGCTGTTCACTGCATCTACTTCTTAAAAGCACTAAGGTATACAATGCACAAACATTTTTAGCTTGATCCATCGACCAATATTTGTTTTACATCCGAATTGAAGATAGAAATAAAATCTTAAAAAGCCTTTAAAACCAAAAACCAACATTGTGCAACAAAGCTCAGAATATCCTAGAAACCATTTACATCTAGAAAGTTCCTCAAACTGCTTTTGAAGCATGGAATAAGCATCCCCACAAGCAATCTAACGGGGGGTGGGGAGGGGGGTCAACTGGAGATTGGGATGGCGATTTCATTGAAGACTTGGCAAAATATACACTTATTTTAGGAAGTAAGAACTGAATTTTGATTTGTTCTCTTACCATAATTATTAGTTTTAAGGAAATTTTTCATTTTGTTATTTGGCAACTTTCATTTTTATTAGGAGCTTTAGTATAAATTGGACTGGTATTTCTGAATAATTTATAATTGATTTGATATATTCAAAATTTCCGTTCTACACTTCTCTTCCAGCTTTCCGACTCTTCTATCTTCTGTCTTCTCAGCTTTAGCTATCAAGCCCCAAGCCTCTTTTCCAGGCTAGGTCAAAACATACCTAACCCATGTTTGAGCTCCATTATCTAAAAACTTATTTTCAATCATACATTCTCCCAATAAAATAATTTTATACGTAAACCCAAAATTTTTATCTACTTTTTAACTGCACATTCTCCAAAAAATCACTATTAAAAAATCTATTTTTTTCAAACGATGGGGCTCAAACAAAAGTTTAGTTTAATGTTTGTCAGAATCACTACTGAAAGAGTGGTTTAAGTTACTGTCATGAACGCTGAACAACGGGTTAATTAACTGTATGCATGGATGGAAATCCTCTCCTTTTTTATGTGTCTCTGAAGATCATGGTAATCTAAATAAGCAAATTGCTACAAAAAGAGAGATGGATGGGCTGAGAGAGTATCAGAATTGAAAAGCAAAGTGAGGTGAATGAGTAAAAAACTCTTTAAAAGACAGGAAAAATCACAATATAGGATTTAATAGTAGTTAGTCAACGTCAACCATAGAACAATTGCAATGACAATGTGATAAAAAATAGGCAAAGAAGCCGGAATTAGCAAATGATGAATAGCATCAGAATTGAGTGTGACTATGTCAACAGTGTATCTGCAAGATCCACACAATTCATAATATAATTACTAAAATTTCGAAGTTTGACTTACTTCCTTCTTGTCCACTGGGGTTAAAAAAGGATCAGGACACTTAGAGCAGCGACAACACTTGACATTGGGTCCAGGCAATTCAATATAGCACCAAGTATAAGCATTTTACCAAGTTTTGGCCCCATTGGAAGCATTGTCAAGGACATCAGCCAAACTTATACGAGAATGCAACCTCAATAAGCATAAAATTGAGAAATTAGGAGTCTTATTCAATAGTCAAATTTTCAGTCTCATCCAAAGCCCCAATGATCTTTAAATATTCAATAGCATTTTGAACCTTAGCAGCAAATGTGAAGGAAAAGTTGTATGACAACCTCAAGACATTATTGTTGACATATGTATTTCCATGTGAGTCATGATGCAAGCTCTTTCCATAAAACAGAAACATATTTGAATAAGCATTACCACTAGATTCTCAGGTGACTGCAATGCCCTTGACAGGAACTTGGAAATACTACCCAGTTTCAGACTTTTAATTTGTAAGCAAAGAGACTGCAGCGGGGTCCTTAAAATTTCTGGTAATTGATAATCTGCAAAAGCATCATATACAAATCTTGGATAGAGATGATAACATTCTCCAGGCTGAACACGTCCAGCTCTTCCTCTTCTCTGAAAATTTATGAAGAGATAAAGTTACTTCGGAATTTTTTAATACCAAAATAATATATTCAAGCAACTGTGAGCATTAAAATGTCCCTAGATCAGAGCATGTTCTAGCAGACAAATTAAACATCACATCCAGCAGCTAATGAGATATTCAGGAAGTAAAAAAAATAAAAATGTTATCCTAAATAATTCTATAATGCACAGAGGAGTTATTCTTCCATTACACGGTTCTACACGTGTAGTTTCCTAAAAAGTTAACATTATTACACGATGATAACATTCGGAACCATACATCCAGGGTACATTATGCTGAGAAACTTTTGTTACAGGCACAAATGAGGCATTTAATAGCCTTTTTGTATTAAGTTTGATGGAGAAAATATTTTTATCAGCAATAATGGTAAAAGAACCGGTTTGTCTGTCATATGATGAACTTCAACTTTTGTTAAGCACAACAAAAGCCACTCATTCTCTATTTGAAATTGTTCAATGGCAGGGTGCTGCCTGGAATCATATTGTAGTAATGTAATGGCCACATTAACTTTCATTTTCGTGTGCCTGAAAGCGTGATAATTCTATCAGAATTACTTAAATGGTTTTGGGGAGTGTAATCTGAAAGTATTGCTGCCCTTACCAATGCAATAATTACATGCTCAAAATCTTAAGCTTCTATTTAGGCCACAACTAAAAATTCATAATCCAGAGATTCTTAGGTATAACTCTATCACAAATTGAGTAAAGTTGGTGTGTACACCAGTGACATAATAAGTAATAGATAAAACTGAAACTGAGGAGGGATCGAAGTACAAAAAAACCTTTCGTTTGTCCCCTTCACTGAAAATTTCAACCCGTTTTGGACCAGATGAGAAGAATCCCCGTCCAAGAGAAATGTATGCTACTATCCCAATGCCAAGTTCTCTAAACATTTCAACAATATAGTGAGGAAAAGGTGTGTTGCACGTTAGTTGCTAAATGTTAAATATACGTGTATGGTGGTTGTTGAACGGATATACATTCTTATAGAAGCAGCCAATCTAACAGCAGCCAATTCCTTCCAAACCTGCCATAGAGATATTAGGAATGCAATTAAATAGGCAGATTTAACAGTGGGATTATGTAAAAAGGGCTTCTCAAATACGAAATCTCCATTGTTTACACATTCCACACCTGCCTATTCATTTCTAGACGATGTACCCTCCATCAAGTCAATTTGTTTGGTAAAATATAAATGATAGGATATGAATTGTTTCTACAGATTCCCTTCTTATGCTTCATTGCCAGAAAACAGTAACAAAATCCCTTTTAAAACACGTATAAGATTCAGGTAAGATAGAAGAACTGTTTTTAATATTCTTCTAACTCTAAAATGTCTAAGCCTGAATCTCAATTAATCACCTTCCTTTTCACTCTTTTTAATTCCAGTAGTAAACACAGCACAAAGAAACACACTCTTCAAATACTGAACCATTAGCAATTTTAACATCGTTAATGTAGCTTGGAACAAGCTTGTAAGAAGTTAAACCTTGAGCAATATTTCTTAACTTTCAAGTAGCTCTAACAATTTGATAGTAAAATCATGGCTCCCGTGAAATATCCCTTCTGCCTATAATATACAGCTACAGCAGCTAAAATTTGTACAGAATGAACCACAAGTTCAATCCTGCAAAATCACAAAATCTGATTGGCAAGTGAGAATAGTTAAATGGCTTGCACCAGGAATGATGAACAAAATGGATAACAAGTTAAACAATGATAAACACTTCCCAGACATGCTTCTGACTATATAATTAAATATGCAAAGGTAATATGATACAGGAAACTTAAGAAAATCTGATGGGGATCAATCCCAGTTAAAATAACATTTTCATCATTTCAAAAGTCCTTGGTTATTTGCAGAAGGATAAAATTCCCAATATTACCACTTTTCATCTAATTTATATTGCTAATGACAAAGATCAAGAAGGGATCATACCATATTTCTTCTTATCCTTGATCAGTGTTACCCGGGCACTTGAATCTAGAGAACATTAAGCTCTGAACTATACCTAAAAAGGAATAGAGTGTTGGCTTGAGATTGTTATCATGAGTGAAAATAACAACAATATCAATTACCTGTACCAGAAGATGAAATAGAGATTACAAATACTCACAAAGTTGGTAAAATCCTTAACTTTCCAATTGATGACAAGAATCTTAGATCTTATCTATGAATATCAACATCATTATGCTAATAATAATTACAATCATAGCTATTATTATTGGTAAAACTTTCGGATCAAATATAGAAACCAAAACTGGACACAAGATTTTTGAAGCATAACAATAAGAGTTTATAGATGAAAAATTGAAACTGTAATTCCAATTTTGTATTTTTCTCTCATTCAAAAATAATTTTCATCCAAAAAATGGCTCGTCTTCAATTGCTACTTGAGCTTTGGTTGCCTCAAATTAAGATGAAACAATATCTGTGACTAATGTCATCATGTAAAACTTAACTAAAATGGCACTATCACATGCTATGAAATAGAACCAATAACATAGCATGTACCAAACAATATAACTGTTGTTCTGTTTTCCTTTTCCTCTTCGTTGTTAGGGCTGACGGGCAAGAAATTGCACTTGAGTCAGACCAAAAAACTGACGCTTCCATAGAACAATATCGTGGCAACGTAGACCTAAGTGGTCATGTCATTGGACTAGGCTTCCCGGATCCCCTTTCTTCGGTGCTGACAAACTACTAGACGGTAAACTAATGAGAGGATGACAAGAAACTTCTAATAATCAAGTCAGGTTCAAATGGAAGATTTAGGAAATTGAGTATTCTCACACTAATTTCTTGTCCTTTTCCTACTTGCTAGTTCTTAAGAAAGTCTATTTTAGCAAGACGTCAATATTCATCAATTTTGGCCACAAACTCAACTCATTAACTCTCCATGAGCCCTTTATTTAGCATTAAGAACTAAGACCAAAGGCAATATTGAGAAAACAATATACTTGTTGAGTGCTTTTATTGAGGAAGATGTTTTGTCGCAAAGTATCAAAATCGATATTTGCTATGGTCTCTCAAAGAATGATTTGCTAGATGAAAACAAATGAGTTTCGATTGAACTTGAGAAGAACCAATCTTCCAACTGTCAAAAAACCAAAAGCACTAACACGCCTTTTAAAAGGAAAACCCCTAAACCCACACAGATTTAGCAAGGGATGAACCCTTTACAAAGCAATGGTTTGACCAAAAGATATCAAATTCCTCGCACGTTACTTGCGTGTCTCTTCCTGATAAGCATACACCTATTCCATTAATATACAGGGAAATTGAAAATTCTATATAGATGCAAAGTAAGGAAATAAATTGCTTGGCATGAACAAAATCCCAATTTGTGAAGTTCCATTCCCAAAATAACATTCTTCTCTTTTTTTCCACAAACAAAGATAGAGGCATTAGTTTACAAACGTGTTCGATTCAATCAATCTCACAAAAAAACCAAAACCCACAATCTCAACCCCTCAAAATGATAGATAAAAATATAAGAAATAAACTTTAACTGTGGAATAGAGTAAGTGATTGCGGAAACTTTGTGAATTGGAGAATGAAGTGTAGAAGCAGGGTCGGCCCTGAGAATTTTGAGGCCTAAGCGATTAATTATTATGAGGCCTTAATTTTTTTCTTTTTAAATTTATAACAAGTAGAAATACTTAAATATTTAAGTTTAAACCACAGCTATATTTGAAAACCTTGGAAGTGCTACAAAATATAACTTCAATTTCCAATATCACTCTAAGTTAACTGGAATTCATCATACATTACTATTGTTTTAATGAGAATTCACCACTGCAGCAAAGTACAAATCCCAAGAAACAAAATAAATAACTTAATAAAATAAAGTAGGTCTTTGATATTCATAAACCCAGGCAGCAAAGCTCTATTATTAATGCAGACCGGAGTAAAACATAAAATTTTGGAATTCAAACCTACCCAGACTCATCATCAGGGTGCGCAATAACCAGCAACACATTTCTCTATCGGAAAACCATTCCTAGCAGCAAACAACACAAAATAATCTTGAAAAAACTTATTTAAAACATCCCTAACCATATTTACAGAGATATACACAAACATGATTCATTACCATCATTTAAGAATGCAGCTTTGGAATCCACAACAAAATTTGCACCCAAAGTACAATTAATAATACGATGATGATTAGCCACGCCATGTAGAACCCTCCAGCTGGAAACTAAATAAACAATGGCCTTACTGAAGCATTTAATCGAACAACTTTACTTCATGATTCGCTTGTCCCATTCAAACATTCATTATAAGTGTAATTTGTAATTTGTTGAAAATAATTAGCTAGCACACCAAACATTATTAGAAGTGTACAAATATGAAGCAGTAAAAAAGTAAAATCAACACAAAATGAGAAGTGAATAAGCTATAAGGAGAAGCAGAAACACAGTTGGGAGATAAAAAATTGGGCTATCCCCTGTCATTCCTACTTGCTCAATTGATCTTACTCCTGGCAAATAAAAATGGCGAGCCTGCCCTATCACCGCCTCGATTGTTTGAGATTGACTGGAAGAACAAAGAAGAGGTGATTGATTAGGAGAGGAAGATGCGATCAATTCTGCGAGAGATCAATTCCAATATAAAAAAAATTTCACCTTTTTTTTTTTTAGGCCCTAGGGCCGGCAGTAGGAGGAACACCAGCAGAACAATACGCCAAAGATTACATTCCGGGTTGAAGTCAAGATCCGCGCTCCGTGGAGGCAACTGCTCGGAGACCTCACGGAGCTCCACGCTGCGCGGAGACAAAACTTGGTGGACCGGAATTTGAGCCGCAACCGTTGTTGGAGCAATTAGCTTCACGGACAGTTGTTTTTCTTTTGCTTCAACCACGCCTGAGGTGATGCTTTAGACATTCGATTTTCCTAAATTTTTGGATAAAAATATTGGCTAGTTCTTTTACGTGTGAAAATGGATGAGGAGATGGTTGTCTGTGTTATGGCGTGTGAAAATGGAGATGAGGTTGGGTGAAGATGAAAAAATATAAAAATAAAAATAATAGGAGGACGATAGGAAATTGTGACGCCTGTCCAGCCAATGTTGGACCAAGCTACACGACTCGTGTGGATGACCGCACACACACACACATACACATGGGCTCGGTATTTTTTTTATTGACGTGGGACCCATGCGCCATGTGAGGGTGCGGTCATCGGTGCGATGAACGGCGCGGGTTGTTTAGTAAAATTCGCCAATGTTAGACACTTTTATATATGTACTGGTCTTTGTTCGTGCAATGCATAGATTGCGTAAATATAAAGCGTGTTCAATGTGAAGAAATAATGATAGATATATTGAATCTTATCTGTTTTTTCTTTTCTAAAAGTAGTTATAAATCAAATTAGATACACTTGGAAAACCAGCTAGAATAAAGAATTGTGCTAGAACATTTAATCTTTATGCACATGGATGCCTTCAAAAGCTGATGGAAATAAGAATAAAATAAATAAAATATGGAAACTGTTAATCAATTTTGTTTATTTTTTAATTTTTTCTAGGATTTTAATGAATGATAATTAATGGTCGAAACGGAAATGGAAACTATTCTTTTCTTCGAGACAAAAGCGAGACAAAAGCGAGTGTTGGTATCGAATTTATCTAGATCATCTGCACCATAGGATTTTCAATCTTTTCAAGAAGCAATGCAACTATTAATTGTGTTCAGATATTCATTCTTGTTATGCACTCCACGGTGTCGTAGGCAAGATCCTCGCACATTCCATTTTTAGTGTACCTCCTGAACAATGATTCCACAGTATTATGTGTGTCATCGAGCAAAAGGCTCATCGATGAGAAAGTTGAAATTTAGGATTCATCATCAAGTGAAAAAGAAATTTGCGACTTTAAAAACCACTCTTACCTCTTGTAACGCCCTGAATTCTCGGAACCTAAAGCGTTAAAAACTAATCGATCTTTCTTTGGTTCGACCCATTTGATGTTAACCAAAGAAATTTGTAAATTAGAAATTTTTTGGATTTTGAAACATATGGAAAATAATAAGAGACATTTGTCCACGTAAACTTAGATAATTATGGTAAAATTTGATTTCTGGAAAACATTTGGAAAAAATACAGCAAACAAGGTTTATGCAGCAGTGGAAAGAAAAATATTTTTGGTCTAGTAAACGATGACTAAAAATTATGAAATTTTATCAGCGACTAAAGCATTCATATATGTACCACATATAAAAATTTGGGGTCTCGAAGATAATGTTTGAAGCAAGAAAATATTGCTCGAATATGCTGAACAGAAAAACGGATTAGACATGACGCGGTTTTACTAAAACGGGCATAACTTTTTTTCTAGATAATATTTTTGAGAAATTCCAAAGGCCACTATTAGAAGACTCATAGACCTTTCAAACGCCACTGATTTCATTCTAAAATGTGCAATGTATCCCAAATAATACCATTTTCAAATGGAAGACAGAATCTGAAATTGTAATTAGCAGGAAATAAACTTCGGTCATAGTCATTCCAAAGTTTCCAAATTATGGTTGACATGAATAACATATAAAACTGAACGAAACTGATGTTTAAACATTTTTAAAAGTGCCATCTAATCATTCATAATGCGTTTACATAAATTGAAAATTTTACTAGAAAGTTGAAAGTTTTTTTCAGATTGCTGAGCACTTGCCACTATGCTAAACCGCCGCCATGCCTCAAATCAACCTGTGAGATTATAGTGGGTGTGAGTATTACAAATAATACTCAGTAGGAAGACACTGGAGTAAATGATAAAATACATATATATTTTTAGAAATGCAAAAGTTGTTTCCATTATTAAAAAAAAAATGTGGAATTCACTTTTCCACCATATAGTGGGAAAATGAAATCCAAACAATCAAGGAAAACAGGTGCGTGATTAAGCACCATGTAATTCACTTTCCATGGAAATTCTTTGCAATCAAAAACTCACAATTGGCCAACATGAAAATTAATTTTCATTTTTCATGGAAATGGATGTCTATGAAATGGAGCATTATTCTTACACGGCTTCTTCCCACAGCCTCGTCTTCTCCAACTCTCACCTGCACCAACCACCCTTGTCCATTTCAGCTTTTCCCTTTCAGCCTTTCTATTATTAGCATTTTTCAAGTAGTTGATGAAATTATCAAATATTAGTTCACTGAAATGAATTTATGTAGGAACAACAAATGCCCAAAACAAGGAAATTTTTTTATAGATAAGATAAAGGGAGAAACTGTTAAGGGATAAAATTTCACGTCGAATAAAGATGAAAACATAGATCAACTTATAAGTTCTTGGACTATTCCTCTTAACAAGGTTGACCTTTTAAGATAGATAAAGGGAGAAACTGTTAAGGGATAAAATCCCACGTCGAATAAAGATGAAAACATAGATCAACTTATAAGTTCTTGGACTATTCCTCTTAACAAGGTTAACCTTTTAAGATGGAATCCCAAGTTTTAACATAGTATCAGAGCTCATTAAATTCTAACGAGCAATTTGATCCAACTAAGAATAAAAAAATGAGCACATGAATTTCAAAATTGATCTGCTTAAACGAATTACCATCTTGTGGGGGCACGTTAGGGAAAGAAATTACACATCAAATAAAGATGAAAACATAAATCCAACTTATAAGTTATTAGATTACTTCTCTTAGCAATGTTGACGTTTTAAGATAGAACCCTAATTTTTAACAAAATCAATAATAAAATCACTCAATTCACAAGATGCATCTTAAGCAAATTAAGGTCTATAATAATTCATAATATGGTAGTGTTGGGCGTACAGGTTCAGCACATTACAGAACTCTTATAGGGTTTTCACAAAGGAGTGGGGTCATGATTTTTTTCTTCATTTTTTATTGCATTGAGGCCCACGTGGGACCGACCCCATGTGAAGGGTCGATAAGATCTCTGTGAAAAAAGCTCTGTACACAGAACTTTATCCTTCATAATCTACTCATTTGCTCCTAGTAATCAGTTAATTCATGGAAACGACAAAACTACAAAGTACAAATTAGACAGACAGCAACAGGCAGGTGAAAGCATCTACCAAACCCTAAAATAAACAAGATAAGTAACGTGCTAAATCTTCTATTTTTGGTATTTGAATCTCGGGTTAAAATTTGTTTGGGTACATAGTTATTTTCTATTTAGGTCCTCGAATTTAATTTCCTTACAAATTCATTGTAGAACATACGATTTCTTATCTTTTTAGTCAATCAAAAGAACATAAAATCACAAGTAGAAGAATCGTCCTTAAAATGAAATTTGATGTAAATAAAAAACGATAAATATATTAGAAAAGACAAAAATTAAAAGTATTACTTACATTGGTCTCATTATACCAATGAAAGTATTACTTTAAGAAGAAGTCTAGTTTACATAATTTTAGAAGAGAGATTCTTTTGTTTTTCTTTGTCTTCCATCTCAAACAATTGATACCCGACCATCAAAAGTGAATATTAGTCGTCGATTTGATTAAATTACTAGTTAATTTGATTAGAAACTGATTATTGTAGGATAAACTTGCGTTTGGATTGTTCTTGGTGTAAAGAGGTTAAAATCGGCCACAAAAGGACGAAAAAGAAAGTTAAAAAGTTCGAGGATTAAATTACAAATATCCAGAAGTTAATTCAGGTCTAGGAATGATGATTGAAGTGAATTTTGTCCCATGAATACATTTCTTCAGCCACCAATTCAAACACCTCTCGTATAGTAGAATATTCACTTTTTTTGCAATCAAGAGATGCAAACATCATAGTTCAAGTTATAAGAGATTCATTCTTAAAGCATATATCTCGGTTTCTGGGCAAGAAAAACGAAAGCACAACTAAAGATTGACCAAGGAGGCTTGAAAATATACAAAAGTCCGTGGCGTCTTCTTTTCTTTTTCACATTTCTAAAATTGGATGATGTTTCATCATTCCTGTATAATTTCTTGAAATTTTGTGATGCTCATTAAACTTTTTTTTTCACTAAAACATATATTAACCCTTTCTGAAGGTGCATGGCATGCTCGAGCGCCTAAAGTAGGAGCAAGGCCGCTCACTAGGCGTGAGTGGTCCGCTTGAGGAATGAATTTATCTGAGAAACGTTAGTTCGCGATTTTAAGCTAGTTTTTCAATCCTATTCAACATCAAACACTACCTAATATATATGTATACAAGCATAGGTCCGTCCTAAAGGTGTTGAATCATTATTTCATATTAGAGAAGATCCTTTGAAGATCATTAACATATTCCAAGATTTTTTGATTCAACCCCTTGATCAAATCATCAGTATTCATCTCAAACATCTTGTACTATTGATTGAGCCTTAATTTTAATTGAGAGAACATTCCAATGAAGATCAACTTGATTTCATTATTCTCTTGCGTCAATCAAAGATTAAAACACAGAAGATGTAAAGATCAAATATCAAAAACCCTTACCTCACCTATAAGTATTTAGAGTTCTAAAAATTGAAGAAGAATCGCTTGGAGTTCAAGTGCTCTGGAAAAAAGTTCATTCTTGGTGATTTAGGCAAAGGGAAAAGTATCCCAAAGTTGCTAGGAAGAGCGGGTCGCACAAGTGAAGAGCTCTTATTTACAAGTTGGGTGATCAGAGTCAGCTAATATTTAGTAATGTCTGGACCAATTGTAAATTAGCTTTTCTAGTGGATCTTTTTGGCAAAGTTTGTCCGAAACTTTCTTGTTAAAAGTTCTTCAAAGAATTTTCCTCTGTTGACATCTAATATTATTTACTTTTTATGCTTTTGATCTATACATTTATGATTGTTTAACTTAGGGTTTAAATTGTATTTAACCTTAATCATTTAAAAATAATAAATGAATTACGTGTTGCATTTTATTGGTTAATAATTGGGTTTAAACCAAGTGATAATTATGTTCAAACATGACGGAACTAACATGATGGAACGCTCAATATTTTCTGAATTAAATTAAATAAATCAAATACGTTTAATTGTCAATTTTGATGCTCAATTACCTAGAACTTATTAGCTTTCCATGCAAGTTCTATGATTGC